GAGCTATAGAAATAAACTGAATAGAATTTAACTGAATAAGGCGTCACCACATTTAATAATATCAACTCGTCCTGTTTTTCTATATTTTACTCTTATTGAAACATTAAAAGTATGATTTTAATCTGCAAGACGATAAACTTCTTTTTGTTAACAGAAGATTAACAGGAAGCAGAAATCGATTCTATAAACAGATTTTTTAGCTCTACTGTCTCCCAAACATCAAAGGGTTTGTCTCTGTTGTTTGATACTGAAATAGAAAGAAAACATTTTCTGGTCATCATCAACACATTTTATTTTTACTTTTTCTTTTTTGGCGTTACAGGATCTTAAATAAAAATGATAATTTGAACTTTGCACTGAAAAAGTTTGTCATCCAGCAGCCTTCCTGTTATCAGCTGGTGTCTCAGAGGTTTGCTTACAGTGCAGACTGGATGCATGACTGACCGCTGCTGTGGGGGAAGCATCTGAGCAAAGTCCTCAGTCAATCGATTCTTCTCGCCTTCAGGGTCTCATTGCTGCACTGAGACTTTTCCATCGTATTATTGAAGATGTGCTCCCTAATCTCACCGCTTTCCTCCTCCAGCTGCAACCTTACCGTCGCCGCAGAGCATTTCTCCACTCTGCACCTGATGATCATGGTGTCGTTAGCTTCTTGCAGCCAGCAGGATTTCAGATCAGGCGCTTGGTTTCCAGCCGGGTGACAGACCAGCTGATCCCGGCCAACTGACGCCACGGTTCGTCCCCTCAGAAAACCCGGGCTCTGACAGGACATCCTGTCCAAGATCTCCCTGTCGCTGCTGTTCGTCAGCAGCCAGTCGTAAAGGTACCGCAGCTGGCAGTCACATCTCCAGGGGTTCCCATGAAGCCTCACTGTGAGCTGCAAGAAAGAATTGTCCAAAAGTCCCAGCGGGAGCGTCTCCAACCGGTTGTCAGACAGGTAGAGCCGCTCAATCATAATCTGGTCCTCAATCAGTTTGGCGTCCACCTTTTCCAGGTGATTATTGTGGAGGTTTATCACACTGATGCTCCACAGAGCGTTGAAGATCCCTTCAGGCAGAGAGGCCAGCTGATTGTCAGACAGGTCCAGGGTCTCCAGGGCCGTTAGGTTTCTGAAAGAGTTTTCTTTGAGGCTGGAGAGCCGGTTGGCTGCTAGCATGAGGTCTGTCAGTGAGCTCAGACGGCTCAGAGAGGACAGCTCAGTCAGTCTGTTGCCTTTCAGATTCAGTTCCCTCAGAGTCGTCAGCTCAGATCCAAACGCCGCATCGTTGAACGAATTCAGGAGGTTTCCACGGAGATTCAGCACGCTCAGGTTTGTCAAAGCAGAGAAGACGTTGTCATCCAGGTGGGATATCCTGTTCCACTCTAAGTGAAGCTCTGTGAGCTGAGGAACGCTGCGCAGCGTTTCACATGTAAGGTTACTAATGAGGTTGTTGTTCAACCTAAGGATCTTCAAACCAGCCAGACCAGAAAACGTCCCTTCTGTTAAATTCTGGAGTCGGTTTTGGGAGAGATCCAGGAAATGCAGCGAGCCCAGGTTCTGGAAGAGAAGAGGAGGGAGGCCCGATAGGAGGTTCCCCTTCATCTGCAGAACCTCCAGCTGTTTCAGGGAATCAAACATCCCAGGAAGAACCGTTTTCAAGCTGTTATAGTTGAGCAGCAGCTTGGTTAAATTCTCCTGCTTGGAAAAGGTTCCCAGGTAGAGATGATCCAGTGGAGGATTCCCGCTGAGCTCCAGCTCCCGCAGCTCGGTCAGGTGCTCAAACGTGTCGGAGTGGATGCTTCTCAGAGCGTTGTTTAGGAAAACCAGCTTGGTGAGCTGTGGGCTCTCCATCAGGGAGGTGGGGAAAAGGTAGGCCAGTGAGGACGTCATTATCACCACCTCCCGGACCTGCCTGGAGATGATTCTGGGGAAACTCGACATCCTTTCATCAGCACACAGGACTTGAAGTGAGGTGAAGCACTGACATTTGTACGGACAGACGCTCTGCCAGTCGCTGTGGCCCGAACGGCAGAGAAGCAGCAGCAGAAGGAGAGTCTGACCCAACTGCCCGTCCATAGTCACTGGAAAAATAACAGAATCAAGACAGATGATATTCAGAAGAACATTTCTTAGCTGTGGAATTTGAAAGAAATCCAACGTACCTGTTTATTCCACTGGATCTCCGACCAAAGCAGCTGACGCTAACTGCAAACAAAAGGCTTTGGAAAGATCGAAACCTTTGGACAGCAGCGAGACGCTGCCAACATTTCATCACTAAAAGTTCCCGCTGAGATAAGTTAGTTACAGCAGGAAGTAAACAGAACTGAGCTAAAACAAGGAAAAAGGGACTGATTTCAACTAAGCAGTTTAATTAAATTTTAAAACTTAAAATTATTTATTATTTTATGGAAAAAAAATCATGAGAAGTCCCGTACATTGTGATGAACTTCCCTCCTGAGTCTCTCTGTATGAACGGCTGGGATGTTTGGGAGGCCCAGAAACTTAAAGCTCATAATAAAGAATAGAATAGAATATTTCAATTCTATTCAGTTTA